CACAGAGGGAGCATGTCCCATTAACTGGGGGCAGGGGAGAGCTATTGAGTAATTGCAGTTAAAAAATAATCGTTATCCAGGCGCCCGGGTGGCTCAGTTGGTTAAGCATCTGCCTTCTGCTCAGGTCATGATCTCAGGGTCCTGGGATGGAGCCCCATGTCGTCAGGCTCCCTGCTCAGCAGGGAGTCTGCTTCTCCCTCTGCCCCTCCCCCCACTTGTGCTAATAAATAAAATCTTAAAAAAAAAATAATGGTTATCCATATGGAAAAATGTGAAATTGGATCCCTACTCTACATGTATATAAAATTCCAGGTGGATTAATGACTTAAATGTCAAATACAAAGTTTAAAAAATTTTAGTAGACTCCATGGATGAGCTTCTCTGAGTCTGTAATTTAGGCTTAAGGTGGGGAAATATTTCTTAAATAAGACACACACAGACACACGATAGATTTGACCATTTTTTTAAAAGATTTTATTTATTTGACAGAGAGAGACACAGCGAGAGAGGGAACACAAGCAGGGGGAGTGGGAGAGGGAGAAGCAGGCTTCCCTCGGTGCAGGGAGCCCGATGTAGGGCTCGATCCCAGGACCCTGGGATCATGACCTGAGCCGAAGGCAGATGCTTAACGACTGAGCCACCCAGGCGCCCCAGATTTGACCATTTTTTTTTTTTTAAAGATTTTATTTATTTATTTGAGAGAGAGAGAATGAGAGATAGAGAGCACGAGAGGGAAGAGGGTCAGAGGGAGAAGCAGACTCCCTGCTGAGCAGGAAGCCCGATGCGGGACCCGATCCCGGGACTCCAGGATCATGACCTGAGCCGAAGGCAGTCGCTTAACCAACTGAGCCACCCAGGCGCCCCCAGATTTGACCATTTTAAAGGCACTTATAAAGAGAAAACTGGGAGAAGATATTTGCAATATAAGTAACTGAGAAAAAACTAGCATGAGAATTCATAAAAGTCAAGGAGAAAAGCACATATAACCTCATAGAAAAACAGGCAAAAGGTATCAACAGGCATTATTCAGAAGAAGAAACACGTATGGCTTATAAAATATGGAGAGATGTTCAGTCTTAGCGATTAGGTAAATGCAAATTAAGACCACACTGAGCTCACACTTAAGATTGAAAATGCAAAAAGTCTGACAAAAGCAAGTGTTGAAGAAGACATGGATCTGGTCATAAGACCTCCTACACAATGCTACTGGGAGTGTAAATTAGTGTACCTACTTTGGAAAAAATATTTGACATTATCTTTTAAAATTGAATATTCACATTCCCTATAACCCAACAATTCTACTTTAGGTATAAACCCAAACAGATCAGAGAAAGCTATCCATATTATAAAAGATACGCACAAGTATGTTCATAGTAGCACTGTTCATAATAGTAAAAATCCAGAAGTAATCCAAATGTCCATCAATGAGAAATCAAAGTGTGGTATATTCACATACTGGAAATCATACAATAGTGAAAATGAATAAGCCAAATACATAAAATATGGCTGAATCTTACATTAGGCGAAAAAAATCTCACAAGGATACAAAAGCACATTTTTTCCTTTGTAACAGACTTAATTTTTTTTCAAGATTTTATTTATTTATTAGAGAGACAGAGAGAGCACAAGCGGGGGGAGGGGCAGAGGGAGAGGGAGAAGCAGACTCCCTACTGAGCAGGGAGCTTGACATGGGGCTTGATTCCAGGACCCTGGGATCAGGACCTGAGCCTAAGGCAGACGCTTAATCGACTAAGCCACCCAGGCGCCCCCAGACTTTATTTTTTTAGAGCAGCTTTAGGTTTACAGAAAAACTGTGTCTAAAGTACAAAGTTCCAGTACACCCTCTCCCCCACCACAGTGTACAGGTTCCGTAATATTACTATCTTGCATTTATGTGGTATGTTTGTTGCAACTGATGAACCAATATATATATTTTTTTAAAGATTTTATTTATTTATTTGAGAGAGAGAGAATGAGAGATAGCACGAGAGGGAAGAGGGTCAGAGGGAGAAGCAGACTCCCCGCTGAGCAGGGAGCCCGATGTGGGACTCGATCCCAGGACCCCAGGATCATGACCTGAGCCAAAGGCAGTTGCTTAACCAACTGAGCCACCCAGGCGCCCTGATGAACCAATATTGATACATTATTATTTGCTAAAGTCCCCAGTTTACATTAGGATTCACTCTTTGAGTTGTACAGTTCTATGGGATCCACAAAACAGTATCATACAGAATAGTTACAACACAGTATAAATGCTCTGTGCTCCACATGTTCCTCTTCCCTCCTCTGCCCCTGGCAACCATACATCTTTTTAGTCTCCACAGTTATACACTTTCCAGAATGGCACATAGTTGGAATCACACAGTATGTGGCCCTTTCAGACTGGTTTCTTTCACTTAGCAATATGCATTTAAGATTCTTGCATGGGCTTTTTTGGCTTGATAGCTTTTTTCTTTCTTTCACTGAATAATATTCCATTGTCTGAATATGTCAGTTTATCCATTCACTTATTGCAAGACATCTTAGTTACTTCCAATTTTTTGCAATTATGAATAAAACTGCTGTAAATATTCATGTGCAGGTTTCTGTGTGGACTTAAGTTTTCAACTTATTTGGGTAAATACCTAGGAGCTAGGTTTAGCTTCGTAAAAAACTACCAAAATGTATTCCAAGGTGGTTGTACCATTTTGCACCCCCACCAGCAATGAATGAGAGTGCCTGTAGCTTTACATCCTTGCCAGCATTTGGTGTTGTCAGTGTTCTGGAGTTTAGCCATTCTAATAGGTGTGTAGTGGACATATTCTTTTTCTTTTGGGGAGGGGGAGCAGACTTTTTTTACTATATTAAAAACAATTAAAAATACGTTGCATACACACTTCATATATATATGTAGTTGTGTTCTGTATAAATACGTATATGGAATAAAAATTTATAAAAAGGAGAACAAGAATTGGTGAAGATTTGTGATTACGTTCACCCCACGTGAGGGGAGGCAAGAGGATCACTTAGTATGGGGCTGAGGGAGGCAAACCATACATTTGGATGTAAATTGTCATTATAACTTTTTTTTAGGGTAGAGAGTTCACAGCTATTATTACATTGAAAGCAACTAAATTAATAAAGACGGGTTGTGTGTGGTTGGCTGAATAATGGCCTAGCAAAGATGTCCATGTCCTAATCCCCAGATTTGGTAAATGTGTTACAAGGGGGAAAAGGGACTTTGCTGATGTGATTAAAGGTGTTGAGTTGGGGAGATTATCCTGGGCCCAGTGTAATCACAAAGGGTCCTTGTAGGTGAGAGGGAGGCAGGAAGATCAGTCAGAAAGGGATGTCAGGAGAGAAGCAGAGGTCAGAGAGGAAAGAAGTTGCTATGCTCTTTCTGAAGATGGTGGGTAAGGCCAAAGGTCAAGGAATGCTGACAGCCTCTAGAAGCTGGGAAAGGCAAGGAACCCATTCCTCCCCTAAACTTCAGCAAGAACCAGCCCTGCCAATACCTTGATGTTGGCCTAGTGAAACTGATTTTGGACTTCTGACCTCCAGAATTGTAAGATAATAAATTCCTACTATTTTAAGGCACTAAGTTTGTTACAGCAGTAATAGGAAACTAATACAGTGGGCTAGGCATGGATCAATGATTAATTGGATTATGATAAATCCAGTTCTATACCTAAGTCCAATAAAAGCAAACAAACACCCTTGAATAACTCCTCACTGCTTCAAAGACAAAGCTCAACTCCTCAAATCCTTCACAATACAATTCTTTTAAGCCCACCTCTCTCAACTCTCAAGACCCCTTCGCCATGCCTTCCCCTCTTCTTCCTCCCCAAATAACTATATACTTTAACCCTGGATCCTGGTCTCTGCGCCCTTTTGCTACTCCCACTGACTCTTAAGGGGTTCAACTTCCTTGCCACGGAGTCTATGAAGCTTTCGAGGTTCAAATCCCCCTCCCCCTCAGTACATGTTGGCAGAGCCAACTCTTAAGGCACTGTTTAACTGGGACCTTTAAGGTCGGGCAACAGGCTGAAAAATCTTTATCACCACCCTTCACTACGATGGGGTACAAACTCAAGATGCTGGTGGGAGGGGATGTAAGCGCACCATGAACTGTTGCGGGGGGAGGGGGGCGGAATTCTACAGGGCTACAGGAGCAGTTTGAAAACGACTCCCTCCATTCTCAAGCAAGACTTCATTTCCCGTCTACATGATGGATATCTGCAAACACAACCTTAAGTCTGCACGTCTCAGCCCAAAGATTTTTTTCCACTCCAAGAATTAAATAAGGGGTTGGAGGGCATTATCACTGCACCTTACACTGACTCGATGTTGGCAGCAGTCCTCCATTAAAAATGACTATTTTAATGGAGGATTGCTCTACTTACCATCTTATCCGACCAGATAACGGACGGGGAAAACTTTGAAACTTATAAAGCAATCTACAAACAGCCTATCTAGGCCAGGAATACCTAATTGCCGGAAAACACGCTCAAAAGACAAGGCCGGACCTTAGGAAGCCCGAGGGGACCCAGACAGCGCAGCTCCCAGCTCAGCCCGGACCCGACGTCCATCACAGCCCCTCCATCCCGTCGCGCGGGTCGGCTGTTTTGATGAATAGGGGACGGCTCGAAAAGCCTGACTCCGACACCACGCGGAGCCAAAGCAGGGATTCAGACGCAATTAAAGAAACCGCTCTCAGGCTGGACGGAGGCGGAGCGGTAGCACAAGCCAAGCCAACTGAAGAGCCTTAAAATGCTCCGAGCACTCCTAGGACAGCCCCCAGCGCGAGGCACTCTGGGACTTGTAGTTTACTCCCCGGTCACCGTTTTTTTCCGTCCCGTCTCCCCGCCTTTCAACGTCGCTTTTATTCTCGGCTTCTCCTTCCAGCACGCCGACTTCCTGGTCGCCGCACGTCCTCACGTATGACTACACTACCCAGAAGTCTCTTCTTCGCGACCCAGCGCCGTCGCGGGCGCCCGCCGTCTCCTGTGAACTACAGTTCCCAGAAGTCCTCTGGAGAAGTGCTTCCCTCTCTCATTTCCAGGACCACAACTCCCAGAACCTTCAGCTTCACGGCGGTTCCCTTTTCACTTGATCTCTTCTTGAACTGGCTGGGATTCAGCCGGCCAGCAGGCACTCAGCGACGACGTGATTCGTCGGTACTGGGCACAGGGTTTCCTTAGCGGCCTGTTTTTCTCCCCACTCAGTTATTCCCTTTACAGGCCGTCGCGGCTGGCCTGAGCGGTGACCTGGCGGGCCGCGCCTGCGCTCTGCCCCGTTTCCTGCCTGGCTGGTGGCGGTGGCCATTTTGTTCATCCTCCTCCTCCTCCTGCTCCTCCTGGTTGGAGCGCAGTGTCCGGAGCGGGCTGGGGGGAGAGAGCCCGAGAGCAGGGTTCGGTGGCTTTTCCTCTGTCCCCAGCTGGTGCCCGGAGCCCCCCTCCCCTTCCTCCCCACCCCCTCCCCTCCCCAGCCCTGCCCTCCCCCTTGTCCCGGGATCGCTCCGTCGCACCCACCATGATGGAAGACGACGGGCAGCCCCGGACTCTGTGAGTACCCGAGACTGGGGTTGCCAGGCGCCGAGAGGCCCGGGCACCGCGGGACGCTCTGGGAGGGAGCAGGAGAGCGGGGCCGAAGCTGGGACTTACGGCGGCTCCCTGGCCGGGGCGCGGACGCGAAGTGCATTCCTCTTCTGTCCCCTTTTCCTTGGGAAGGAAGCCCTCCCTTCCCCCAAACACAGTCACTTCCTGGGGTCTGGGGTTTGTTTCGACCTTATCCTCTCGCGCCCTTCTTTGCACACCCTTCCTAGGCCGGGTTTCTGCACGGCTGGGGCTGTCAGGCCCGGGAGAGCTCCTGCTCCCCCTCTGCTGTGGGGGCCCTGGACTGGGCCGGGAGCTGCCGGTCCCCACGGGGGCAGGGCCTGGGTGGGGGTGGGACTGGGGGTGGGACCGCAGCCTCGTGCCCCGCGGGCCCCGAGGAATTAGCGCTCTCGCTCTGCAAGTCCCCAGCTCCATGGCTCCCGGCTCTTCTCCCAAGCTAAGCTCTCCGAGGAAACTGGACACTCTTCCTCCACTCAAGCCCCTTTTCTCTTTCTGTCCCACGTGCCCCCGCCCACGCTGTCAGAGACACTCGCCAAGCGCCCGCTACTTTTGAAGTGCAAAAGGGATGCCTCTTGCCGCCGGAGCATCTTTCCCTTCTTGGAAGTTTACTTTGAGCGCTACCTACGCTAAACTGACAACCAGTTGTTAAACTGCTTTTGCTCTTTTGGTGTTACCTCCTCCTAATCTGTTTGTGCTTTGAGACCTTCAGAATTGGATAAAGTGATGTCTGTTCACTATTCGATGTGTGTCTTCTCAGCACCTTTTCTTCCATCTTGCTGTTGCTTTTTACCTGAAGCCCGATCTAATGAATGAATTTCCATCTTCCAACCGTTTATTCGAGTTTTCCTTTCTTTCCTAATGAAGAGTGATGACTCAGCATTTGCATTCCTTTGCGGATAGTGTGGCACTCCTTTCTTTTTCCTGCATTTTTAAAAAAAAAGTCTGAGTAATTTCTCATTAAATGTTTAAGTTGGCCACCTTCGCTTTTCCTAGCCTTTGGAAGCTCAGCACACCTACCTCGAGTACGAGGAGTCAGATCGCTGCTTTGTTTTCTCTTGCCTCTGCCTGGTATTGATATGATCATAGGCCACTTGGCTCTGCTATCTGTTGGGGAAATTACTTTTTGGGGAATAGATGAAGGTGGATGGGTACTCAGGAAGTTTAACTAGGTTCTCATCTCTTCTACCAAAGAAACTCCGCTCAGTAAAGAAGATAGATACCTATTTATAATATTGATACAGGTTTGGGGTTTTTTTGTTTCGTTTTGGGGAGGGTGGGGGTGGGCTTGCACTCTTTGTATCCCTATTTTTCTAATGTCTCACTAAAGTATTTGCCATCCTGTTTTGAGAATTTGAGGCCAACTTAAGCACATCAGATGTTTCAGTGAAAAGTCTGTTTCGGAGAACTTTTATATTTTGTGCTGTCTCCCATTACTAACTTTTTTTTCCCAGAAAAGAGAGAATTGGGACAATTTGAAATTTGTGCTTTAAGATCTGTTGAAGCCAAGGCTTGATAGTTAGCCATGTGTGCTTTGATGGAAGCATCTGGGAAAGTTGAATTTTAGTGCCCAGCTAGCATGTATTTAACAAAGATAAAAGTTACATTGTATCTAAACATCGGAAATGTCATCATTGCATCATAATAGCTACTGAATAATTGGTAAATTCTCATGGTACCTTTCTCATTAACTGTATTTGTTCCTTAAGAAGAGGAATTCCTGGTTTTGTCGGGCTAAATAATATGCCATTTCACTACCTTTAATTCATATAACTATCTTTGCGTTTGCCTTATCTTTATCTCCATCAGACCTTGGACCCTTCTCCAGTAGACTAATGAGCTAACTTTGTCACTTATTTCTTAACCTCTACTTTCTCCAATCTCCTGTTCTTTCTCTGAAGTACACTTAAGTCGTCTATGTTTACAGTTGTCTAAGAATGTGACATATGTACATGTGAGTAAAGAAACATCTTGAGCTTAGTTGTACCTGTATGTCAGTACATGTTTACTATTCTGTCTTCCTTTTTCCTTCTCCCACTCTTCTCTATGGGAAGGGTTTTTTTTTAGACAAGGACTGCTACATCTTCCTAGGTCTTACCCCTGCAGCACTTAGTTCACTGCCTGGAAGACAAGAGGTACTCAAATATTTTACAATGATTATACTTCTTTTCATTGAATTAGTATTAAGTTTGTTTTTTTAAAGTCCTGATTAATGTAAAATTATGAGCAGACATGACTGTCATACATGGTGTGGTCTGTTGATTTTTATATATTTTTTTAAAACCTTCGAATGTGGAATTTTGAAATAAAAGCAAATGTTTCAGAATTGGGATTTCTTGGTCAGATTTTAATAAAAATAATGCATAGTATAGTTTTTTCTAAGCGTTCATTTTACATAATTCCCCTCAAAGCGTTCTTTTAGGTGTAAGTAACATGACAAAAACTTTGAACATGACTTTAGAGGTTGACATCTAGTAGGGTTTTATTTTGTTTATGGAGATCCTTTTATTTTACATTGTGATCTGTGGGTTAGGTTTTCACGTGGCTAGTATGTTTTAAAAGAATGTACTCTTAACAAAGCTTATCTTAAACTGTTTCCTTAAAATGCCTGTGTGTTACTAGTGAGGTTTTTTTCCTGCAGACACACACAAGCTAAGACATATGGTTCTATCATCAGAAAACAATATGGTGTTTATAGCCTAGGTAGGTCTTTAAATATTCATTACCTACAGTATTACTAATTTATTTGATGGTATTTAAAGTGGTATAGAATTGCTTTGATGTTGAGCCTAAAGTTTATCCTTTAAAGGTCTGTTTTCTGATGTTCTTTGTTCTTATTTGACATTTATTTTGGGGTAATATGTATTCAATAACTTGTGATCTAAAAAAACAAACGAGATCATGCTGTGTAATCTGGTGTTGGAACTAAACCGCCTGACACCGACCTTGTGGGACCCACATTTCCAAACTTGTGGGTAGCTTTTGAGAGCAGAGATTTGATCCATGGTATATCTGAATCTATAATACAACATTAAATTATGGTGGTGTTCTATTGTAGTTTAATTAACTTTCTTAATTTATCTGATGCCTCAAAATGAGTAGGAATTGTGGATTTGGGATTACACTATGTTATGCAGTGCCATCCTTTAAGGCTGTTCTTTCTTTCTGATCGAGGCTGTGATTTAGAATATAATAAAGCAGTGATTTAGAATATAATCTGAACATCAGAGGGGAATAGCAGAAGAAACTGTTAGATCCTGTTATAAAATTGACTAGCTATATGATGGATTTGGCTATATTGTGGCTGTAATTAAGCACCTCGGCCAACTTAATCATATTCTCTGTTTCTTTAAAATGTGTGTGTATGTGTGTCGATATCCCTTATGTAGGTGGTCAATTCACTTATACCCACCCTGTATCTTTCCTCCACCTTGCCTCCTTCCTAAAATGAAATACTCACAAATTGATCAGTTCATTGGAGGCCCATTGAAGGATGTTGTTATAAAATCTCCTCTTACATAGGAACTCGTCAAGAACAAAAGCAAAAATGTGACTTACATGGAAATTTAGCCATAGTATCTTGTGCAAAAGTGCACCTAATTAATTTCAACCTTGGTAGGGCTATTCTTTTGAGTGAGAGCACATTCAGTGTTGAAAAAGCTTGATTAGTCTTCTGAAAGGCATGATGTTCCTAACTTAAAATTCTGCCCAGTTGGACATAGGAAGTAGTTTGGCAATGTGAACTTTTGCCTACTGTGAAACTGCCAAGTTTCTAGTCTCAAATTGGATTTTAACCCTTACGTTAGGGATAAAAGCATCATTTTCCGTTTTTAATGCTTTAGTTCCTACAGTTCCTGTTCATAGAAGACAAAATAGACCTAAGGTATGCCTTTTTTTTTTCTTCAGTAAAAAGTTGTTTTAGAATTTCCTAAGTATTTACTCTTTGAATTGACTTCTTAATACAAGAATTTGAGCTGTTTGTCTTTTCCTGCAATTTTGTATGTTCTTCAATTAGAAATTTTATACTTAAGCACTTGGAACTTTAGAATATATTGACTACTTCAGAAGAGAAAGAGTGAAGCGTAGACACTATAATTTAGGAAGAGAAAATACACTTCAGGGTACTGCCAAGAGATGATGTTCTTTCCAGGTCAGGTGTTGAACATCTTCCTTAAATATTTTTGTTAGTATTTATTTTGGGACATAATTTTATGGTAACGTAAGGTACTTAAGCTGTGCCGTACAGTATTTTTAAAGCTATAAGAAGTTTCTCTGTTGAATATTATGAAGGATGAAGACACATGCAAATGAATGAATTACCAAACTCGAGTAAAGGAAAAGGCAGTCAGATTTGGGTAACATTTAGGTGAAATTATATGGTAAATTACATCCTTTTTATCCTGGTAAATTAAGAGCTCTGTGTGTTGTTATGGAAGGCCTTTTTTATATTAGCTTTGGAATTTAGTTTGCTGCTTTACCACTGAACTTTTAGTGGAGATATTTGAAAAATAGGAAACCTTAAAACTAGATTTTTGTATTTCATGACATTCTAAACTTAGATGACCATTTTGCTCTTTGGCATCAGTGCTTGAAATGTAAATTACTATATCTAAATGTGCCTCTAGAAATTCTCCAAAATTTATAGCTCACTCAAAAAAGGTTGACTTGGAATAAAAATCCTATTAAACAGTAACAGCTTTAATTGTGACTGTTAGATGTGGAAGGTAATTAATGCCTATGCTTTTTTTTTCTGAACAAATCAATGTTTAAACAGTAATGCAAATTTAAAACTATTTATTTAAATTTTATTATATAGAAGTGGCGATCTATTTTAACTTTATCATTAGTGAAAATCAGTTGTATCCACTCCTCTTCTGTTCTCTTAGAGGTGAGCTAACTAGCACTTTAGGCTAAATGAATATAACATTTAGGAGCCCAAGGTCACTTGTTCATTTACTTTATAGATAGTTCTACCTTGTACAAAAAAGAAATTTTCCCTGGATACAGGCTCACAAATCCCTCTGAGTTAAAAAGGGACAGGGAGTTGTCTGGCGAGCTTATAATCCTATAACCTTTTGCTACTGCTGGAAAAAGTGTGTCATTCTGTGACCTACCGATGGGTCTGCTCTACTTTAATTATAAGAAAAAGATGGACCGTTTGTCACTGGTTTAGTCTTCTATTTAAGTAACGTTGGACTGGGTGTTCAGTTTTAGTACAATGTAGATATGTAGATATTAGTACCCATTGCAATGAAATTCTTAGCTGAACTGGGAAATTGCTACTCATTCTTCATCAGATAATTTTTTTACACTTTACCTTTCTCGGTTTATTTTTCCCTTTCAGAATGTTCCAGCTTAAAGCAGTTATGTATTTAATATGGTAACCATAGATGCAAGGCTTATTTTGGTCTCAGTACGCAGTTTCCAGATGTTATATATTATCATTAGGAAAAGAAAACTTACGTCTTTTTAATTTCCAGGAGAAGCTATGTTAAATTTTATAAATATTGTTTGGTTCATGAGGTTGTTCACAACGAATGTGAGTTTTAGGAATTATACACTGAGTACCAGAAAGACTTAAAAGTTTGGCAGTTTATTAAGCTAAATTAAGACAAGAGAAACCAGGTGGTCATTTCTGGGTGGTGGTGTTCTTTTCTTTTGAGTTTATCTGTATTCTAAATTTCTTAATGCAGAATACATATAGTCAATATGTAATTTAAAAAAATAATCCCAAATCTTTAAATAGGCATAGTGAAAAGTATACCTAGATTTGTCTTATATTTTCTCTGAAATTCTGAAGACATCTTTGTATTTGCTTTTTTATCTATATAATGATGTATTTTGTTGATTCTGATGTATTTTAGACTAGGAAATTTTATTATTTTGCCCTGTGTTCCTAAAACAAAACAGTGAAGATATATCATCGATAAATCTTGTTTAGCAAGACAAAACAAAAGCTTCCAATCTCTGTGTGTTTTGCTAACTTTACTCTCTCTTCTTTGTTCATGTAATTGCTTTTGTTGGGGGTCTAAGATAAACTCACTTATGTCTAATGTCTCTTTATTGATCGGGTGTTATAATTAATCAGTATTTTTGGTGGTATTCGTGTGTGTGTGACACACAACACACATACACTATTTTGAATTGTGTTTTACATCCAGAAATTAGAGTTATCTGGAGGTTGGTTTAAATTTTATTATTTTTATTCTAATAAATAAGATGCAGTGATACGTAGGATACAGAATAATAATGCTTTTGGGGCATGCAAGGTCACATTGATTTCTTCTTTATCACAAATGTTTGAAGTGTTACTTTAGTGGCCTAATTTAGTACCTAAGAACACTTGCTGCTTTCCTAAATAAGGGTTAATTTTACTTGCATAGGATTAGGCTTAATTGGAAAAAATTTTATTGAAGACAGAGGAAGTTAAAATGAAATAAAAGGTACTTAAGTGATAATACATGAGAGCCAGAGCTGAAGGGAAATTGCTGATAATGTATTCTTTTTCTTCTTGAACAGATACGTAGGTAACCTCTCCAGAGATGTGACAGAAGTCCTTATACTTCAGTTATTCAGTCAGATTGGACCCTGTAAAAGCTGTAAAATGATAACAGAGGTAAGATCTTCCCAGTTCCATGTGCTGACAGCGTGATGTTTAATGTTGTGAGATACATGAGTTGGTTAGTATCATTTTAAAATATCATTTTAAGCCTCAGGTTATTCTGATGGAGAGATTCATGTTTGTTGTGTTGACTTACTGATTTGGCAAATAAACTAGGTTTGGAATGGAGTTTTATTTGAGAGGACAAAGTTTGTGTTCTGTTACTCTTACATGGTCATTCTTCAGGATATAGTTACCTTCAAGTGATTCTGCTTGTAAAAAATTGTTAGCACTTATCTCAAGAGTGTTGAAAAACTATATAATATTTCATACAGTTCTAATAAGAATGTTCCTGATTCAGATGATAGACATTTAAAGTTTAGGAATTGGTGTAGTAAAAGAACATTAGGTTCTTGTGTGCTTAGTGTAGCACCATGCACCTTGTGTATCTCTAATAAATACTAATAACAGCAGCTTTACATAGACTGGACTTAAATTGTTAGGGCAATCATTTTATTTTCCTTTTTGCAAAGAAAACTTTCTCTTTATACTCTCCAGACATTTTATAAAGAAGAAATCAGTGTGACCTTGCATGCCCCTTTATACTCTCCTATACAAGCCCAAAGATTTGTGTTTCAATTCGTTCTCTTCTTCCTTTTTCTTTATTCATCCACACACTTCTTAAACTTTACTATGTACCAGCTGTTCCTGTAAGTGCTAGAGATACACTGCTGAATAAGACGGTTCTTAGTGCCGTAGAATTTTACAGCCTAATGAGGGAGACAGAGGAGTAACAGGCACAAATGACAGAGGATGATAAATGCCGTGGAAGCAGGCAGCGTCAAGTGCTGTGGGAGCACAGAGGTCCAGGACAATCTCGGGTCAGGGGAGGCTTTATTGCAGGAGTCAGCGTCTAGGCTGAAACTGAAGGAGAGTAGTGGAATCTGAGGAAGAAGGGATTCCAGGTGAGAGAAGAATGTTGATCCAGTCTGGTAGACAGAGTGAGCAGGAGTGCTCATGAGAGGAATTGGGAAGGTAGAGACTATAGTGCAGTTGGTGTTCTGAATGGGATTAATCATAAAAGATGCCAGGATATGAGGCACCAGTGTCCGGCAGGGGCCGGAGCGGTGCTAAGGAATTTGTGTTATACCCTGCGAGGGGAACCGTGAAAAACCCATAAAGCAAATTGGCCTTTTGATCTTCTTTTCTAGCTGAGAATAGTCCTTACTCTGTTCCAGTACCTCTTCTTTCCTTCCTCTCTTTGATTATTCATTCATTCATTCTTTCATTCATCAAAAATTTACTTTGTGCTCGGCACTCTTCAGAGCTCTGGGGACATAGTGGAGAGCGAAAGGGAGAAGACTCCCATGAGTTTACATACTATTGAGAACATTGTTAACAAACAGACAAGATAATTGCAGATAGGGAAGAGAGCCATGGAGAGAATAAAGCAGCTCTATGATGGGGATTGGAGGTTTGGTGTTTATGTGGGGCTAGGTGCTGAGGGGACGATGTCACCTCTTTGAGGCAGGAATAACAAGATGGTGCGATCTATGTTAAGAGTTGGAGGCAGAGGGAATGGCATATACCAAGGCTGTTGAGTTGGTGATGAGCTTGGTGAGTTCATGGAACCAAAGACCAGGATGGCTAGAGCCTGGGGAGAGGAGGGAAGTGGTGGAAAATGAATATAAAGAGGCAGGCGGGCAGGGTTCAGAATCACCCAGGGATGTGTGGGTCCTGACACACAGTTTGGATTTTACTCTGGTTGTGCTGGGAGTTTTAAGCAGAGTAATAAGGCACTCTCTGATTTGCATTTTTGAGATTATTTGGAGACTGTCGTGGAGAATGGATTGTACGGGGCAGGAATGGAAGGAAGGAAAGCAGCTGGGTTTATTTTACCAGTCTAGGTAAGAGATGATGGGGGCTTGTTTTTTAGATTGGTAGGTGGAGAGAGAGAAATAGGTAAGTTTGGAAGATAATTTAGAGGTGGAATCCGTAGGACTGGATTGGCTAGGGGACATAAGGGAAAGGAAGACATCAGGAAAGACGCTAAGATTCTTTTTTTTTTTTTTTTAAGACGCTAAGATTCTTATTTGTAGTTGCATAGATGGTAATGCTATTTATTTGCTCAAATGGGCGTGACCAAGGGAGGTGTGTGATGGATGGGGGAGTGCTGGGAATTAGGAGTTCTGTTTTGGCAGTGTTAAACTTAAGGTGTGCATTAGACATCCAAAGGAACATTATATGTAAGTAGTTGGATAAACTGAGAGACCAGTGCTGATGATAGCAGCTTGCAGTGGTATTTGAACCTATGGGACTAGATGCGATCTAGTTCCTTGATCTAAAGAGAGTGCTGATAGAGAGGAGAGTGGTCTAGGTCTAAGCCTTGGAGCATGTCAACACCTGGGGTGACGTTTAGAGTTTGAACTAAGGGGGAAGAACTGCCTTCTCAAAGATCCTCCAGTGAGAAAACCAGAAAACCAAGAGGCTGCGTGGAATCTAAAATGGAGTATTTAAAGGAGGGGAGGAGTCGTTAGCTGTTTTGAATTCTGCTTGAAAGTCAAGGTGAGGACAGAAAAGAGATCACAGAGGTGGCAGAGGGGTCACTGGTGAGCCCAACACAAAGTTTCAGTGGCCTCTTTGGGTAGGAAGCCAACTGGAGTGGGTTCAGGAGAGAATGGGATGTGAGAAAGTGGAGGGAGTTTTCTAGAAAATTTTTGAGAAACATTTGATAAAGATTTATTTTAATAGTATTCTTTTTAAAACTTGTGTGCACGATCAGCCATTTGTGGGAGAAGGATTTGAAATGAATTTGTATAATTTATCCATATTCTACAACTCCTACATTCAAACTTGTATATACCTGTAAAATCTCATATTTCTCTGTCTTGAAATTTATGTCACCCAACAAAAATTGGTGACAATAATTATTAAGGTAAGCACATGGTTGATTTTTAGAGTGTCTCTTGGTGGCATAAATGGGAAGCTTCCAAAGAATATGAACTCTAGTACAGAATATCTAGGCATTTATTTTCCTTTCTATAAATTCCATTTCAGTATATGAAAAATGCTTTTTTCCCTTAGTTTTGTGATTTTTTACTTTAGATATTGTTTATCTTAGATTCTAGCTTTCTCTATATACTATAATGTTATGTTACCGATTTTAAGGCTAAAAAATTCTCTGACAGTTGGGTTGTGACAAAAATCAGTGGTGTCTTACATGAAATGCAGTGTGATGTGAGTGTGTGTGTGTGTGCGTGCACATACGTTCGTTCATACATTGAATGGGGTTGGCCTGTTACTATTAGGTAAACTTGAAGTCAGTCTACATGAGTTAGGGTAGTTTACTAAAGCCTATTGCTATCATGGATCTACCATTGGACCCCTGTATGTCTTGCTGTAATTACCAGTGTTTTCTGTTGAGATCATCAGGGCAGAAGAGATAGGAGTAAAATGAAAAATTGACTAGCAGAGTTTTAGTTTGCTATTTACCTTTAAATCCTTTCTACAAATGAATGTCATTGGTAAATGTTAACTCTTACAAGAGGAATTTAAGTGCATGTTTTTCTTTGGAATCTTTTCTCCATTTCCTTTTCTGTATCTCTTAAGAACAGAGTTCACATGGCTACGGTAGGATTTTGTATGAGAGCCCATAGTTTTCTTGTCAGTATTAATGATCACACTTTTTTTCCCTCAAGGAAATGCCTTCTGGTTGCCTCGCCACTATTGTTTTAGACGTCTTATTTTGGATTTTTCTTCTAAAACTTTCCTGGAATGAAAAACAGTGGTTGTTGAAAAGATCTTTATTTTATCTGGTATTTTGTACCCCTTGTAAGTGCAACTAGCGTTCCACATTTTATAATAGTACTATTTTTTTAGGGCATTTTACACTGAACAGTGATGAATGTTTTTAGCCTTATGCAAAAAATGTATTTGTATGGTTGTGTAGCTTTTCAGTGCAGGTTGGAGTTTTATAAAATTCATTTCCGCTTTGGTTGTTAGATTATAAAGTTGCTATAACTTAGGTCGTACTTTCTGATTATCTTTATAAATGTCTATTTGCCAACTCCTGTCAAGTATAGTATTGTAGAATATATTTAATAAAGATTTCTTATATTGGTTTTTTTGTGATACAAATTGTAGCTTTGTCTTGGAATATTTTATTCAGACATATTTTCAGATGTTCTTTTCTTGATTTCTGGCATATTTTTCTGGTCTTCGAAGACTAAATTCAAAGTATATAGAATCTCCTGTTCATTAAGATAGCTTGAAAGATGGGGAGTTCATTTCAATAGCTGGTTATAAATTTGAAATTTTTCTGTTTTTATTCTCATTCCTTATCCAGAAAAGGAGTACATAATCTCATCTCCTCCTATGCAGTATTCATCCTAGTTTCAGTCATAAGTAAAGTTTGTAAAGTTGGTTCACTTCTGTATTTTTTTTGTCATGGGATATAGTTTATGAAGGATTATGAGGCATAAATAGAATTCATCCTTTTGAAAGTAAAGTTGGGAGAGAGAAGAGCAGTGGTAAGGAGTGGTCCTTAAGGTTTTGTTTGGTCTAATATAAATTTCTATTTTATATTTAACATATTTCACCAGAATTCTGTATTTTATTTTGCTTTTAATGCTGATAGTCATGATTCTATACTGCTTTGATGGTTCTATTTGAGTACGACAGTATTCTAAGGTGCAAAGTCAGGTGTAGCTGTAAATCTTATTTTTATAAGTGTTAGGCTTTCATAAGCTTATGCAATCTCACCTTGTACATTCCTAGCTGTCAGTAATGTTTTTTCCTGGATTTTCTTCTCAGCAACCCGATAGCAGAAGGGTCAACTCTTCTGTTGGATTTTCTGTTTTGCAGCATACAAGCAATGACCCATATTGCTTTGTGGAATTTTATGAACACAGAGATGCAGCTGCTGCATTAGCTGCTATGAATGGGAGAAAAATTTTGGGAAAGGTAAGATAATACAATGATGGCACCTCATGAGTATATATTTTTGCATGTCGAATTAGCTTGTGTGTGGTTTTTTTTTTTTTTAGCTTATATTCTTTTTAGCAAGTTTTTAAACAAATACTCAGCTCTGCTGAGTGATGGTTTTGCTTTATTCAGCCTAGTGTTTTTACAAAAATTACCCTGTTTGATAAATGATTTAATAAGTGGTAAGTGTTACGGTTCATAACGACATGCCTAATAATTGTATTAAATATAATCTTTATTTTTAGGAGGTCAAAGTAAACTGGGCAACAACACCAAGTAGCCAGAAAAAAGATACTTCCAGTAAGTACTCCTGCTGCATTTTACTGTGGAAGAGTTCTGAAATTATCCTGGCAGCGCTACCAGCTTAAATAGGGTTTTTCTTCCCTTAGTGTTGCCTGAAAGGGCTTATTAGTAGCTGGCTTTTTAAGTATTTGATTACCAAATGCTTTGATTTCAGATCACTTCCATGTGTTTGTTGGGGATTTGAGTCCAGAAATTACAACAGAAGATATCAAATCAGCATTTGCCCCCTTTGGTAAAATATCGTAAGTATCATAGTCAATACTATACTCAGTAGTGATAGGCAAAATTGTATTATATGATTAACTTGTACTGGAATTAAGATTTTCTTTCCCTAGTGTGATTTTTTTTTGTTTGTTTGTTGGTTTGTTTTGTTTTTTGATTAGTAGATGTTGTTGAAAATGTTAATGTCATTTCAATGTTTTGGGGTCTTGTTTTCATCTAATCCTGTGTATAATATGTTAAAATTTTTTAAGTGATTCCGTTTGTTATCTTTGAAGCACATGTTTGGGTGGTACAGCCTATTATAAAGTCCAACTTTCTGTCAAATGTTTTCAAAATTTGGTGGTTAACCAAAAGTGAATGTGATGTATACTGTGTATTAAACTTTTATAGGAAGAGTTTATAAATTGGGAAAAGTAGGTAAATCCTTGGGTATATTGCGGTTAAATTAGAAATGTACATGTTTAATTATAATGATAAATGTGTTTTGATATTTTAGCTGAAAAGTAGTACTATTATAATACTAAAATGTTTCATTGTCTGAGCCATAAATGTGGAATTAATTAGTGGATGTTTTTTTGTTACTGATATTTGATTCTGCTAGTTAGGGCCCAAATGTGGTTTGATTTTTAACAAAGTTTATGCTCAAATCTCGTTGTATGTTATGTGATCAAATATATTGGAAAATTAAAAGTGGTTTTATAAGTTCTATAAAATGTTTATCACAATATATCTTTCTGATTAAAATCCATATATTTTATGTACTTCCTGTAGATTTAAATGAAACATATTTACATATTTACAGGAATATGTTTCACCTAAGAACAACAATATTTTTCTGTATACAATTTGTTGTTCTGTAGATTTATTTGAAAGATTTAATTCTTAATTTTCTATTTTGATACTTGCTTTGCTTTTTAATCTTTAAATGTGGTAAGTAGTACTGTTTTAAAAATCAGTATAAAAAATAATACAGGTTGCTGTTTTTCAATCTTTATTTATACCTGAGACCTGCAGTTTTTCTAAAGTCCAAGTCACAATTAAAAGTAATAGCATTCTGGTTATTTTGCAGAATTGCTCATAAGAATGGACAGGATCTTGAAGGCTAACTGCAAGGAACTGTGCACACTGGAACTCAGTTGTAGATTTTTTTCTCATTTCTATTTATTCTTATTATACATTATTTATATATACATATTTTAGTATTTACATTTTAACATTCTATATTCAGTGGAGTTCTATATTTCCAATCATTTTAACTTACTCACTAAAATTTCTGTGTAAATTTGTTGTTTTCGTACTGGTGTGCTTAGCATTGTTGTTAGTTTTTTATTCTCCTTTCTTAAATTTCTGAAAATGTCAATTTTTCAAAATTTACAGCTGCCCAAACTCCAAAATGATGGTAGAGAATTGACCAAGAAAAATAAAGAAATCTGTTAACAGGCCATGTATGCCTTTTTAATTCCTATTTTTACCTCTTTTTCAATTTTTTAATATTTCATATATTTTGTATCACTAGGCAGAAGACATTTAACTATTTAGAGATTGCATGGTAAAGTAGTTAGCATTGTTACAGTAATTTATAGAACCAGTAAACCTTAGAAGACACTAGCCAATAGAATATTAGAAAAGGAAACTATTGTTCCTATTAATCTTCAAATTTGAGCATTTAGTTTAGAAAGTGCAGGCTATTTGATTAGGTTGCATGTTTATTACATGTTTTTGTCCTACTGCTTTTTTCTAACAGGTAAAGAAGCGTTAGGGAGAGTTCAGGAATGACAGTAGTTAATTAGGGCTAACTGGAATTTTATTTAAAAAAATGCTCACAATACAGTGTGTGTGGTTCCTTTTAGTTTTTATTTTGAGGATGACTCTTACTTCCCTCATTTAGCTGTGCTTCTTTTCACAGGGATGCCCGAGTAGTTAAAGACATGGCAACTGGAAAATCCAAAGGCTATGGTTTTGTATCTTTTTATAACAAACTGGTATGTTCTTTTCAACTCAGTGTAAATTTAATACAAAATTTAGTTGTTAATCGGAATCTTGAATATTCTTAGATGTTGCCTACAACAGCTTTTATGTAATTTTGTGTTTTAATAGTAGAGTGTAATTGTTTTCTTGGAAATAAATAGCTGGAAAAAGATAGGCTTGATTATAAGAAAGTATCACGGTTGTATTTATGCATTGGTGAAGGTAAGATGTTTTGGCAGTCAAACTCAAGATTAGGATATATGAACTAATCTCAGAATTTGGAGGGAAGTTAAATTACATTTAGTCTGAACCATGAAAATCTCAGTTTTAACTTTTAAATTATCATCCATACTTTTATAGCTAGGATATTAATGACTATAGCAAATTATGTAAATGAAAATTAAAACAATTCATCATGAGTTTTGCATGTATTAAAGAAAGAGGTACCAAAATGTCTAAGCGTTTGCATTAACTGTAAGATGATAAAGTAGGCTTTGGTAGTAGCATTTTAGACCAATTTTAGCAACTTATATTACCTACATCTTATTGAAGTGGCAAGATAAGGCTAGGAGCTATATTCTTTCTTTGCTTAGATTCATTGCAAATTCACATTAGTTGTGATAATTAAACTTATTTTTATTGGTAGCATTCTAAATCCTAATACAGAAGTCTTCTGTCTTAAAATGAATTCTTAATCTTGTGTCACAATCCTAATCCATTGCTACTGGAATGTAGATTTTGGGGTAGGTAATTTAGACCATAGTATTGGGAGTTTCTGTGTATCCTTCAGTAAAAGTTACATTTCATATTAGCCATTACATTAAGGTATTTGTGGGATTCTTACTTTCCCTCTTTTTGGTAATGAGTGGGGTTATGATTTTTTTCCTTGCATATTTGAATTATGATCAATTTCCCTTGATGCTTAAAGAAAAATAGTTTTGACGTATCACTGGAGTTCAGATCATTTTTGTTTATTTAGTTCAGTTTTGTTTATTTAGGATGCTTAGTGAATTCATTCCCGGTACTGGTAAGATTTATTGGATCCAGCGGTGCCAGCATTTTATTTCATTTTACTGGGTCTTACATGCCACAGTTTTCTTTTCTGTGTTTGTAATTGCTCTTTCTTTCTCTTTTTTTCTCTGTAGGATGCAGAAAATGCAATTGTGCATATGGGAGGTCAGTGGTTGGGTGGTCGTCAGATCAGAACCAACTGGGCCACACGTAAACCACCTGCACCTAAAAGTACACAAGAAAGTAAGATACGTCTACTGTGTATGTTAAAATTACGGATACGTCACAAAATCATGAAGTTACATGTAGTCTTAATTTCTTAAAATTTAAATTTTATTAGCATCGTAAGGCTCATTTCATCTTGAAATTTAATTGTCTAATAATAATTTGGGCTTTGACAATCAGTATATTTGGAGTTGTGAACCAGTGATTTTATAGATCAAATCATGGCATCAAGAAAAAAAATTCTATTTTCTCCCTCAGTGAGGTATATCTTCGTACATAGTGATCGGTTTTATACTACTGTATAATCATCAACATTTTTCTTTTCTTTCTGCGTATAGATAACACTAAACAGTTGAGATTTGAAGATGTAGTAAACCAGTCAAGTCCAAAAAATTGTACTGTGTACTGTGGAGGAATTGCCTCTGGGTTAACAGGTACAACGTGTGGTTTTCTCCTCCCCTTCTCTGGGGAGCTTTATCACTCTTAGTGTCAGTGTCATGAGCCTTAAGTATTTTGTGTGTTTTTGTTTCTCAGATCAGCTTATGAGACAGACTTTCTCACCATTTGGACAAATTATGGAAATAAGAGTTTTTCCAGAGAAAGGCTATTCATTTGTCAGGTAAAATTCTACCTACAGGTTACTCTTCTATTTGACCTATTCCTTTCAGTTACATTATTTGATCCCCTCAGGTGTCAGCCTTTGTTGTTTTAGTAGTTCTTTGCAACATAGAACTTTAACCTACCTACATGATGTACTTTAGGAAAATACCAAGTTGACAGTTATAAACTGAGTTTCTGTTATTTACTATGTAAGTTCTTTTGAAAAAAAAAAAGACAAAATCCTCCTATCTTCCCCTTTTAGATTTTCAACCCACGAAAGTGCTGCCCATGCCATTGTTTCGGTGAATGGCACTACAATTGAAGGACATGTTGTTAAATGCTATTGGGGTAAAGAATCTCCTGATATGACTAAAAACTTCCAACAGGTAATTCGATTTTTCACAGCACTTTTTAAGGTTTCCATCTTACATATCTACATAAAAGCTTTAAAAACTCTGTAAAATAAACAAACAGAAAATAAAGCATATAGCTGCTTTCAGTTTATTTTATTAATGCTTTTTCAAAAGTGATTATTTTGCGGTATTAACTGAATCTTAATACTTTCTTTCCACAGGTGTCACCACCCCAATAAACTTAGACAATGATAAATAACAGAGTCCTATTCACATAAGGGTGCTTACTTAGTTTTTCTCTTCCTTGTCTCCCACTTTCTTCAAATACTGTGTTTCTTGCTTACTCCCTAAAACGGTAATTTGCTTTTTCCTAGGTCGACTATAGTCAGTGGGGGCAGTGGAGCCAGGTTTATGGAAACCCACAACAGTACGGACAGTATATGGCAAATGGGTGGCAAGTACCGCCATATGGAGTATACGGGCAGCCGTGGAACCAACAAGGATTTGGAGTAGAGTAAGTTGTTTGGGTTTTTCCAGTGTAGAAACCAATACAGTTGTGACAAAAGAAATCATAAGTGTGTTTTTCTAGGGAGAATCTATTTAAAGTAAATTCATCAGGCTGTTCGACATTGTAAGTGTTACAGAAACCTTATGAAAAGTGATTTATAGTGCTAAAAATTTCCTTTTTATTACCTCGGTGAAAGGGGAGGTTGGGGTAACATTTGGTGTGTCCTGCTACCTCTGTAAGCTGTTGGTAGAATTTCATTTACATTTCTAATCTATTTTATCTCGTTTATTTTCGCCTGGAAAAGGTCTTTGTCTAGATTTGTGTCTGTTGGCTTGTGTGAGAAGTCTGAGATTTATGTGGTTCAAAGTAGCTTGCTTTTTTTCCTTTGTTCATAGAGTGGGTTGGTCCTTTGCACCTTTTTCCCCAGGCCAGCCCAGATCTTTATTTTTACTGGTTCATTCTTCCTTCTCTTTCCAACATGAATTTTGTGATTTTTAAATTTCTTATATTGATGTACTATGTGTGCAATATATGATAGGTAGGTGATTCGTCATTTTTTAAAGATCAGTTTTGAGATGTTCTTCAGAGAAGTCATTGTGTTAAGTTGTGATTATATTAACAAAAATGTAAGACTAATGTTGGGATATGTATTCTACATGTATGGATGTGTGTCATTTATTTCTTTGCTCTTTGTTGTGGGTGTGTTGATTTCTTGTCTATTCTATGATGGGGCTCTGCTTGATTTTGGATAAATATATGGACAGTTTTTTCTTTGTGTTTGCTCAAGATTTTTTTTTTTTTTTTCCCAAGTCAATCACCTTCTGCTGCTTGGATGGGTGGATTTGGTGCTCAGCCTCCCCAAGGACAAGCTCCTCCCCCTGTAATACCTCCTCCTAACCAAGCTGGATATGGTATGGCAAGTTACCAAACACAGTGAGCTGGGACTCTAAACAAAATTGTAATTCATGATAGCTTCAGTTTCCTGTGACACTCTGAAGACATGAAAGTAGACATCGGAAAATGAAAATATTTATTTTAAAAATTGAAATGTTTGGAACCTTTAGCACAGCTTTGCTTTGGTGAAGGACACATGTCTTCTAGTTCTGCCTTTTTAAGTTTTTGTTCATGATGGATATGAACATGATTTTTCTTTGTGTACAAAAACTAAAATAAAGTCAATAAAGACAATTCTGACTACAAATTTTGATATAATAGGAGAAATGGGTAATACAATTTTGATTCTTAGATACTCTTACATTTTTATCTTGCTGTTCAGTATTTTAACTCACTGTGTTTTTAAAAGAGCAAAAAAAGGGAGGATCGTGGAAAACTGGGAATCACATATAAGTTCATCCTGAACCTTGATACTCCCCTCCCCTCCCCTGAGGTGGACCACATTCGAAGTCAGCAGAAAAAAGTGTGATATTGAGAAGAAATTGCATGATTTTGGAGTCGCTTTGGAGGAAATACTTACTTTATGCCTAAAGAAACTGAAGCCAGACTGATAAAGAAATTTTACAAACTAAATAAGGAACAGCATTATGAGTTACTTGAGCGAATGTTGGTGGTCCACATTAAGACATGTTTTTAAAACTTTAAAAAGTGTTGATTATTAAAACTGTAGTAAATTACATTTCATTTTGGGGGGAAATTCCAAGTATGGTGTTTGTATTAAAGTCAGACAGTCATACTTGTGCTTTTACATGAAGTTTAAATGATATACATTGTAAATATTGAATAACTACAGTGTTTAAAAAGCATGCTTCAACATAGAAGTAGCAGCAATGTAATTATTTGAAGTAACACTTAACACACTCCACTGCATTGAATGCAATGGATTGATAAGAATGTGTAAGACTGACACTTCCAAGGTTGGCTACTATGTAAAATTAAAATTATACAAATTACTATACAGAAAAAGCCTTAATTTTAATTTCATACAAATCTTTGATGCATTAGTACATTTTAAAATGTCATTGGAAATCAGATTTCTTTTTTTTTTTCTTTCTTTACATCACTTGGTATGTAAATACCTTGATTAAAACCTTGTAAACCTATTCCAAGGTTCCTATAAGTTGTATAGTACAAGTGTTTTTAAAAAAAATCTTGGGGTGTTTTTTAAAATTAGATATATTTTGCCCAAGAATTTTTTTAACAAGATTGCTAAAACATCTTATTTAGACAGTTTGATGTACCAATTTATAATTGGATATTCAGCTTAAGTAGTACACAGAGTTGTGGCTTTTATTTTTATTTAACTTTTTTTCTTTGTGGGTAGTGTGCATGGGATGACAAGCCTGATCAGAGGCTGAGTTGTATGTGTGCAGAGTTTGTAAATGAACCAATTGGGTAGGTGTAGAAGACTGAATTTTGCTTCTGAGGCATTTTTCAGGCTATGTGGATAAAATCTGCCTCAAATTTCTATCCTAACAAGAATGTAAAAGATAAAAATCCTATGTATTCGAATTCTGACAGCTAGAGGGTGCAGATGTCTAGGCAGTGTGTTTGAAATGTTGCTTTGAAGTCTGGGCACCAAAATGAGAAAACCCTTACCAGTTAAGTAGTAAGATGCAATTAATACCCACAAAGTACTATTTTTTAAACGTTTAAGGTCTTACAGTTAGCTTTAAAATAATGATGGTTTTATAAATTGGTGACTACGATAATTCTGGTATTTTTCTTCCCCATTTAGAAAAACAGTCAAATGTATTAAACATGAATATTTGCGGGGTCTGATTCATCTTTGGGCCAGATTTGTTAACGGCACTTTAGTTTTAACCACAGGAGTCCTCTGTGACCCTCTTCTGTATAAAAGTTATCCTTATTTCTTTGTTTACGGCTAGTGTTCTTGGGGGATGTTATGGAAAAGTTACTTTATATTTTATAAGGAGAACACTCAAATTATATCAATTATGCCTCCTAGTTTAAAATTTCTTGAATATATGTGAAACTTGAACAACTAAAGACTTTTTTTTTTTTACATATCAATATTCTCAGTTTGCCTTTTTTGGTCTGCCAGTAAGTTAAGGAGCTTATTGCAGCAGCGAGTAACTGCAGCTGCAATGTTTTCCTGGTTGTCTTTTCTAGGATTTTCATAAAATGATCCAAACTAGTTCTAGCGCCATAGAAAACCTATTACTGAAGTGTCCTTCGTCTCAATCCAAAAGAGATTTCATGATCAGTTCAGTTAATGGAAGTTATTTCATATTAAATGGTTTTTAAAATGCAGAGCTACTTATCCAAATGAAATGCACCATTTTAAAATACAACTGTCAAGCTAACACAGACTCAAGTCTATTTTATAACAAAGTGAAGTCAGTGCTATCTTGATCAATTTAAGCCTAAGAATCGTTGCCTTTTCCATGTTCATTAAAAACAACAGCAGAGATTCTTTGGCGTGTGAGAAAATGTTTATTTCTTAATTATTTTGAGATTTATTTTGGTGATGTGTTTCTGACTGCCATCTTCTTTGCTCTAATAATCTCTCTACTAGTATTTCCCCCATACCATTCCCACGTGATTTTTATGTCTGCTGGCAGTGAGAGGCTGAAATGACTGGCCAACGTAAGCCAAAGCTGTAAACCACAGTTGAAGTAAGTCTTTCAATAAAGACTAGACTATCTGATAAGTGGTTTTTTCTTATTGTCGTTTATTACTTAATTATTCCTTCCAGGCTGCCATGAAATAAGCAATTTTATTTTATTAGTAAGGTCTGTGGAATAAACATACATTCAGGGTCTATTTCTATGTTCTGTGTAAGTATCAAAAGTCCATTAGCTTTGTTGAATTAAAATTTTTTTAATTAAAATTTCTGGATGGAACAGTAGAAATTTTCATCCTTCTAAAAATGAATGCTCTACTGAATATTAGTATAGTAAAATTTCATTAATTTAGAGTCCCCAGGTGATGGAAACCATTGCTTTACCACATCTAGGTTGATCTTTGGTAGTATCTGTGAGTAAAGTTTGCACTCAACAAATAGAAAAAAATAGGAAAAGAATTTATCTATAGACACTCTTCTAGCCAGCATGCCCAAATTAAATCTTCCTGTTTGTTAAGGATCAGCATTTAGACTCCTACTTAATACATTTTGAACGTTGAAATTGCATTTTTAGTATGCATTGGAAAGATGCGAAAATGATTTAGACTTTAGTTTATATAAGCCTTCTGTTAAGTGGTCCAAATGAGCAGGTTTTGTTAAATACGAATTCTATGTGTAGTAATAAAGTGTCCTACTTACCGTGTCCAAATAGGTTACTATTGAATTAGATTGCCATCTATTCTATTTTGAAACGAGGAAATTATGTGAATAATTACAACTTCAAACAAATGTGTTAATTAATTAGTACAGGTTAATATGAAATGTGGGCTCCAGTCTACTTAAGTGGATCTACTTTGACAATTAGTACAGAGGCTGGAAACTAATTCCCAAGGTACTTTGTGTAAATATCTCTTTTGGGGGCAAGAATGACTTTTGGTTTTTAAATGGCCTAAATGTGAAGGAAGTTCAGTTTATATCTAGGAAATAGAGGAGGCGCGGGGAAGTATATATAGTTGGGGTTTTTTTTTGTAATCGGGCAAAAGTGTCAGGGCACTAATGGTAATTTTTGATCTAGTTAGGATTTTATTTGAGGGAAGAGAGAGCTTAATCCACATAGCATTCACAGTTTGGTTTTTAAACAAGAATGTCAATGAGAGTAACAGTTAACAAAAGGTATGTGTCAAATAAATGATTTCCTTAATGTTCTAACTCAGTTCTAATACAGATGCTAAATTTTAACTTTTCCGAATTGTGTTTTTTGCGATTCACTAACCATTGTTTCTCTGAAGTGTTCCTCTGGGAAAATGATCCCCATATTCTAGTATTTTGAAGTCAGCTGGGAAAGTCTGCCAGACAAATGGAGCCTGGAGTGCTGTCTGCTGGCTGCTAGAGGAGAGGCAGGCTAGCGGCATGTTGGAAAGGAACCTCACATGGTGGAGCTGTCCAGTTGGTCTTGGCAGCTGGACTCAGCTTGCCTGCAGATCTCCTGTTTTGACTCTGTTTTGTTCTGGGGAACTAATGGGCATTTGCAAAGAGCCTAGTTCCCAGGTGATACTGGAGAATTGCGTTTTCGAGGTAACCCAGGTTTTGCTATAAACAACCAGTCGATACCATAACTTGCCCAACTGTGATTTTTTTTTTTTCCCCTGTTCTTCCATCTTTCTTCCTTGGGTTTTGGTATACCAATGAAGAAAAGTCCAAAACCATCTGGACAAAGTGGGCATGAAGTATGTGGCCATATGCAACTCTGCCTGTTCTGAGAGTTGATACTAACATTGTGTATGTTTTAGATTTTCATAGTTCATTTTACTGGTGAAGAGTTGTGAGTTGAATTGTTTGGTATGTGGTTTATATGATTACTTTTGCTCATAGAAGTAAAGCTAATTTATAAATCTTAACATAGCTAAACAAAATTGAGAATGCCCATTTAATAATCTTAGCTTGCTTCTTATTGGAAAAAACTAAACTTGTGAAAAACATTGTTAGTTAGTTTCCTTTGGCTAGGTTATATTTTAGCCTACGGCCCCCGCTCAGCCTTGGTTATCTGTTTAATGAGGATTTGGACTGGGAAAGGGGTGGTGACTAGGATAATGAAGGGGGCAGAGGTCCTTGATTCGGAAGAGTGTTGACATGAGAACAGATGGTCCTGGGCAGGTGTAGCAAACCCTAGTGATCAGGGCTTCAGTGCTGATATTTCATGTTATTTCGTTTAAGACCACATGCATGTGTTACCAGGAAGACTAGGAGACTTAGCAGGTCATTGAAAATAAAATATTACCAACACCTTTGTCTTATTTACTGACCCTCATTTCTTTTCAGTTTCCTTTAACGTGTGTATCTATTAATGTATCTACACTTCTGTTAGAATGTTGGGTAGATGCTGAGGTGCTAAATACTGCCTTTGAGCATTTTCATTAAAATGGGATTAAGATATGGTTCAAAATCCACATTTAGTTTATTATAACCAGGACTCTTTATTTTTAAAAATGGACTACTTCATTTCCAGATTGCTTTGCCATTTTTGTATCTTTGGTTCTGTCAGTCACCCTCCACTAGAATGTAAGCTCCATGGGGGCAGGGATTTTCTTTTGGTGACTACCTGAACCCTAGGGCTTACAGAACAGTGCTTGGCACGTGGTGGATGTTA